TTAATGTTAAAAGTGTGAATTTTCTTTGTCTCGCTAACAAACTTCAGGAGCCCAGTCCAGCAAAAATGGTAGCAACCGATCCGAGTTTTCCATCCTCGGGGAGGGACCGCCCAGAGCCCGGCCAGTGGCAGGAAGACCAGCGGGACGGGGGGCCAGATGTGACTCCCATCTGGACTGTGACGGACACCGAGCCTCTGGGCCCTGAGCGGACCCCTGCAGGTGCAGCGGAGGAAACCATACAAACACACACACAGGCTTTCATGTCTATCAGCCAATCACAGCCGTTTCCTGTCCTCTCGCACCATCCTAACGTCCTGCAGATGTTCGCGCACTCGCAGATTTTTATTTGTCCGTTTCGTTTAACCCTCCTCTAACCAGGCGTGCCGGCTGAGCGCTCACTCGCGGGCAGTCGCAGGAACGGGCTGGATGAGTTTCTGTTTCAACAGGAAGCGGAGTTACTCGGAGAGATGTGCAGGAAATCCTGTGCCTCTGACCTTCAGGCATCATAAAAGCCAAACAGCAGACATGAGCCCTCCAAGGCCTCTTAAACAAGTCCTAATGGGCTTGATGTTCGGCACAGGGCAGGTATTTTTCCCCGCTGGAGCTTCAGGCTGCGACAAAATGGACACGAGTTCCCATCTGGCATCAGGCTTGTTGCATAGTCTGGAAAGGTCCCATAATGAAGGTCTGGATTAACTCCTGCTGACTCTGACTACAGGCTGCTTCATTAGAGAGATGGAGGATAAACACAAAGCTCCCTCTGTCAGGATTCCCCTGCTTAACAGGCTCTCCTCTGGGGAACTCATCCAGTTTTTTAATTTGTTTTGCACATTTATCCCATTTAATTATGTTTTCAACATTTGGAGATTTCTAATGTTTACTGAAACAAACACATCAGCTGAGATTCCAGTCAGTTGATTCTTTGACCTTCCAGTTTAAAAGCTCTGCGTTTTTAGAAACAAATACTTTTTAAATGGCTCCACAGATGCTCTCAACCATTTTTAGACAAAAATAAAAGATCGTAAAACTTGACCATTAGTTGTGCAGGTTCAGGGAATAATTAAATAAATAGTCAGCAGACTTATTGCTATAAATAAGGATTAGCAGCAACCGTAAAATCACAATGGATCCACTTATTCTTAAATCAGCTTAAAAGGGAGTCTTCTACCTTTGCACCGAACATATATCAGTTATGATGATGACGGCTTGTGGCTTGATTGTTTTGCCTGTCAATAGAAGTATACTAATCAGTACATGCTGATGCTTTCTGTGTTTCCAGACTAGGCAAACAGAAATCCGATAAACCCGAGTTCAAACTTGTTGTTTCATATTGTTGACGTGTCAAAGTTTTTTTTAGTTCTTTACAGAGTGGATTTTCTTTTATGTCTTTAATAAAATGTTTAAACGTTTGGTGAATGTGCAGTCCTGTGAAAAAAGTGCACCTGGTTATTTGGCGGCCTGTAGAACCACCTTTACCAGCAACAAAACAATCGTTTTCTGTACGACTTTATCAGTATCGGCAGAAAACGTGAACTTTGGTCCAGACTTGTTTGCAGTGTGGCTTCAGTTTATGGAAGTTTGCAGTCCTTCATTTATGCACAGCTCTTTAAGGTCTTCAGTCAGGTTGGAGATTTGCTG